CCAACCACTGTCAGCTGGCTCGATTACCCCTTGGGTCAACATTTCCCTTACCAGTCTATGCATTTCTTGCTCGACCTTGTGCGATACTGGATAGTAACGCTGTTTAATCGGCTTCGTATCACCGACCCTAATCTCGTGCTCGATGCCTGCCGCACATCCCAAGCCCGTCGGGGCTCGGGATAGGGCCTCGTTGATGGTCTTCTGCAGCATGGTCTGTTGTGTAGCCGTAACCTCGGCTAGTCCGATTGTGGCTAATCTCGGACCAGCCTCCAAACTAGCTACTTCTAGCTCCATTTTGGCCTGCGATCCCTTGAACAACAATGTGTTATCGTCTGGATCAAGTACCGCTCTGAACAACCTGACGAAGTTCACTCCTAAAATACATTCTTCGACGAGGGTAGGGAGGATGGCTACTCTCGTCGGCATCGTCAATCCTCCCACGGTGAAAGGTAGCATAGCGTGACCGACGATCGTTAACTTACGACCGTCTGGTAATCCTGCTGTTCCCGCGTGGGTGGTATCTAATCTGACGCCTAGCACAGTCGCTATTTGTAGAGCATTACTACCCATGGCTGTGGTGGAAGCTCCCGGATCATAGAGGGCCCGTATTTGGAAGTCCCCTATCTTCACCGGTAGCCACCAACGCGTCTCCTGTTCCGGGGAATATCGGGGAACAGTTTCGACGGCTCCACAGCTTTGCCCTTTATTCGTTATAGCGCTAACCATTGTGCTCTTGCGTGGTCGAGTGACGTTACTTGTCGTCCGAGCCCCTTTGGTTCGGACGATCGGAGTTTCCATGAGGTTCTTCTTCGACGGTTTACTTGCCTTAGCCCGTGCCCCCGAGGGCGTGTGCGATCCGTACGTCACCGCCTCGGCCGGTCTAGGGTCTTTGGCTTTACCAGTGTCGAAACCTTTCTTCTCCGAGCGCACTCTTCCGCCACGCTTATCTTTGGCGTCAGCAATGGAGTTCTCGTCCTCGACGCCCAACACGCTCGCTGTTATCGGCGTGGGCTGTGTTGGCGGAGGCCGCGAGATCTCTTTGACGGGGTTTGGGTTATTGGATGAAGGAGTGGGATCAACCCCACCTATCCACTCCTTTGCTCGTTTCCCTTATTACACTGGGGACAGAACTTCCTATAATAACCCAGTAGGCCGCACTCGGCACATTTAATCGGCCCAGAGAACTCTCTTCCTCGTTTACGGGGAGTCTCCGGCCTTTTACTTCGGTCCTCGGAAGTCGAGCTTTTATCGGTGCGGTTACTCTTCATTTCCGCCGATATTTCCTTAAGGGATAACAGGATTTGGTTGAATGCGTCGAAGGGTGGGACTTTCTTTTCACCATCGACGGCTTCCAGACTCGGGTTAGGTGCCGCCCCCGGGGGCGTCGGTGTGTAGACGACCTGGTACGTCACCTTTTCGAGTACCTTCTCCATGCGTTCCAATCGATCGCTGACTTCCGGTTTATCACCGGACATGGAAGCCACCTTCCCTTTACGAGCCTTGCTCGCGTCGGTGCGGGGATGATATGCCATCTCAGGATACAAAGTCGACTGAGGGTCTGGCATCGTCCGCTCCATCCTCCGCTGATGCAAGTTGTGCTGGGCCGTCATGGCCAGGACGTTTAGGGTTCGTACGGAGTCCACTTCTGATCTCCGTATTTGGCTTTGGATTTCCGGTAGGAGGTTGGTATGAAGCAGGTCTAGCTGACTTTCGTGCGTCATCCTGGGGTTTAGCCGACTCATTAGGCCCATCAGGTTCGCGATATACACGTTCGCGGGTTCGTCTGGGCCCTGATATCGGCCTTGTACCTCTTTGATTAGACGCTGCTGCTGTTGCCTGCTGGTTCCAAACCATACTCTGGCGTCTGCCTCGAAATCCGCGAAGGAGAACCATTCATTCCTCATTGCCTCGAACCATACAAGGGCAGGACCGGTGAGCAACTCGGAGACAGCCGTGAGCATCTCGTCTTCCGTGAGTCCAGCGCTGCTCCTCGAGTTTTCTAATCTCGTTAGGAAGGTGTCGATGCTCGCGTTGCCCTCTCCGGAGAACCTGAGCTTCCATCCCCTGACGATGCGGCCGACGTCCCTTGTTGTGGATAACGGGCTTGACGTCTGTTGGGATGACCACATGCTCGACGGGTGGTTGTTCACTTCAGCATTAACTCCACCGAGTTGATGCTGTCCACCCTCTCCAAAAGGGGGCGTTCGGCGGGGGGTCCTGTCGGGGGCCCCCGTGGGCCTCAGGCCGGGTCCGGCTGGAGTGCTCTGGGGTAGCCTTGCGTCGTAGTGGCATGTGAATGTGTCCTGGAATGCGACGCTCCTACGCGTGTTTTCGGGTTGCGGTTCCTCATTGGAACTGTTTGACTCGTCTTGCCGCGTACTTTTGTTCACGGCATTTTCCAGTTCCGTAATCCTGGTTGCTAGGTTGTTCATGTGTTCCTGCACCCTGACGTTGGTCTGGACGATTTCTTGAATTACTTGGGTAAGGTCAGACGCATTTCTATTTCGCGATTCTTGGACCTCCCATTTCCTCTCATGTTCCCTGCATCGGAAAATGAGGTCTTGTATCATAATTGCGAATGCCGGCGGGAGTTTAAACTGGTATCCTTCGTCAGTTGTTATAGTAATTTCTTTATTACTGTTAATTTTCTCTCCGCTGTCCAGGGCATTCGCGATGTTTATCGCGGTTTTTTGAACCCGCGATATTACGTCCGCACTCTGTAGTAATTGGGCTAGCGGGTGTTCTCCTTCCTGCTCGGATGCTGTGTGTTCCTGGCATAGGGACACGATTAGCTCCGAGCGTAGGGCGGCTCTTCTGGCTGGACTGCTGTTTTGGTGTTCGGCTTCCGCGAAATCTGCTGCGGAATAGTCGCCGAGTAGCCAGTTGTGCAGTCTGGCAGCTCTCGAGAGCTTGCTCCCGCTAGTCTTGAGCTCCAGCTGGTCGAGGTATTCTTCTATCTCCTCTTCCTGGAGCGTCCATACCCAATTCTCTACTTCAGTATGAGTGCGGTCCATGATTTGCTGTTAGGTTACTTGCGGTTGAATTTGTTTGTAAAAATACAGGTATTATACGCGCGTGCGAGTGTTATATTAAAATTCGTGCGCCGAATTGAAAAATAAAAAAAAAATTTTTATTTGCCAACACTGGGCTTGATCTAGGGCGCTTAATGAATTAATTGCCGAAAGATTCTTTGCTCGTAAATGCGCAATATAATGATCCTACCTATCAGACGTACTAACTGTTTGTTAGCACGGCTGTGTGAGTTAGTATCTAAAATATTGTAATGAGCGTTGTGCGTAAACACCAATAACCGCAGACAATAATATTAAAAAAAAACTATGCTAACACGATACAATGTCGAACAAAATTATTCAATTGAATTAATCCCGTTTGAAAATTGCCGGTGTTAGTTTTTCCCCGGGCCAACGGGTATAATATTATTTGCGGCAATTTTCAAAATTCGTTGGTGTTTACGTTCTAGAATCTTTCGGTCGCACTCGCACGCGTTCACAGGTTTTGTTTACAAATTTTCGCCGCGGCGGGCCTTCGCAAGCTAGCTAACAGGTATTGTTTACACTTGTGGCTTTCGGTGTCGAGTGCGCACAACAACACTTGACTGCCACCTGAGCTATTGGTTGACCGAGCGCGAGGTTAATGTTAAGAACCGGTGTTTTGCACAATCAAAAACACCGTAGGTTCTTTGACGTTGGGCGCCATGTAACGGGGTATGACCGTTTAATAAATTATGTCGCGCGATTACCTGGAAAAGACACGCGAAATTGTCAAAGCTCACTGCTATTAATACGGGAGAGCATGAGGAAGCATACGCCGGTCAACCGATTATCGTTTATAACCTAACTGAATTGAGTGGAAGCTATGTGAGGAGAGAATCAACGAAAATACTTGTTAGTATTATAGATCGGATGCTTTATTATCTTTCTAACTCACAAAGGTCGGCCCGCGCGTTTGTTTACACGCACGCTCGCTCTTCGACAACATGCTTCGCCGGTACGCTCGCTGCTCTCTGATATTAGAGCCTTACATGCACGCATCGAATATTAAGATTGAATTATTATTTATGTAGTCGCGGTCGCGAAATTAAGCTGGCCAGCTTACCTTTTACTTGCAGGCGATCGAGGAGCAACAACGGGTACTCCGCACCACTCGACACAGTTCTGTTATTGTTTCTTTTTTTGGTGTTCGCGAGTCGCGGACGCACGCACGCACTGGTTTCGCCCTCGATGGCGAAACCGTTCGCACTCTCTCTCTCGTTCTCGTCCCTGGCTCGCAGCTGGGCAGCCCCTTAGCGGCAACACTCCTGAATCACTAGTTTCAGCTGTTTTTTTAAGGCGTGTGTATGACGAGGACACGGGAATTAGCGACGATAATAACGATAGCGGGCGGACTCCAGGATGGTCTCGGCTCCACTGGTTCAAATTCGTTCGCGCGCGTTCCGTCTGCTCGCGTGCCGAATTCCTTTATTACATATTTTTGTCCCTCCGGAAGGTGCTGCCCTCACGGACAACGATAAGGTTAAGTAGTTAGCGCTAACTTGACGTTTACCGTCACAATATATATAACAAAAAAAATGAAAAAAATGCTAAAAGAATTTTTTTTTATTTTTGATAGCACTATTGAATTTGTCGGGAAATACTATATTATACATATTATTTTCAGCCCCCTAAGTCATTTATAAAGGTAGGCTGAAATTTCACGTGTCCCCGCCCCTCAAATGTAGTAAAGCGCCTTGCAAAGAGCAAGAAATTACAAATCCAATGGTATTATATAGTTTTATGTTTAGAAATAATAGCATAACTTAAATAACACATACTTACTCGTAGCAAATTTTAAATTAAAAATATGATGCTATACGGGACATGAAACTCTTCTTAAAAAACGGAGTTGGCGTTTCGAAGCAAATCGTGGAATCTTAATTAATTTATACTACTAACATAATGGTAACCCATTAGAGGGCGTTAGAGCGCGAATATTTGAGTTTTGAAAAAAGTCCGATATTGGGTACAGTTTGATATTAGGTATACTGACCTCAATAGATAGTATGGCTAAAATAACTTTAGCATTATTATTTTTATTATGCTGTGAGTTGGTTTTTAATTTGTACTATTTGTATTATTTATTGAACTATATTCATGGTATGACTTATTCCTAGCTTGGTATCCCTATAGTTGAGTTGACTCTTATCGAACTCATTTAGTCGCATCACATTCATTCACTAATAATCAGATTTTAACCGTTAGATAAATGAATTGATTCCCTTTGAATTCCAGGTACTTTTTTTTAAAAGCAAAGGAGGCGCTGACATACATAGGTTTATTTACAATATTCTACCCGCTGCTATGACTAATAAGGTAGCAAACAAATACAGCTATGTAGGGCACAAGAAGAAGCATGCATTTAAAGATTTGCCGTTGTGCACAGTTATATACAGTGAGTATTATACACGGATTATTTCTGATTGTTTTTCTGAATTATATAGAAATATATTCTTTTAGAATCAGTGCGTCATCTATTTCCATCATCACAGGACGAAGAGATTCGTTCAAGAATCAGTAGCTGGTTAGATTAGTCTGGCACAAGACTCAAGAGGGAATCAGACACTGAAGCGTAAGTATTACATAGTATATTACTTTACGGGTCACCTAAGTAGTTCTCTTGTGTACAGAAAGACTGATTACCGACAAAACGTTAATAATGTAATCTTCCCTGAGGGTTCACCATTGCCTTAAAGCAATTTTCATGTTCCACGCGTGATTTCCAATTTCAAAATTACCTTTTTCATAGATATCCGATATTAAATACACTCATTTTTGCGTATCTAAAAAATATAGTATGTTTGAAAGTGGAATAGTTCGCGCTAGATTTGTCCAAATTGATCATGCGATAGCTCTTTTAAGCGGTTTTAAAATAAGACCATGGGTAAAAATTAAGAATTTTACCAGAAGTTACGTTTATTCGTGCTTATCTGTTCGATATTCGGTCCTCGAAAATTATTTGCAATGTGCTCCAAACCACTCCTCGTAATGAGAATATGCCCTCCAAGTAGTGTATGCCAACCTTTAATTAAAGAGTACTATTGTAATCATTTTTAAACTTTTCGGAAACATTTATTGATTATCTATGTGCGTCAGTAGCTTTATTTTTTGAATTTCAGTCCTATAAATACATTTTGATGAATTCCATTTTATATGCTATTTTTTGTCGGTTATGCCACCGTGATGCCATTAAAATTAGAACGCCTTGGGGCATGCTCAAGCGCGGCCTATGTGCAGATTTAGGATATATAGTGCTATAATATAATGAATTCTAGTACTTCAGATACCTATAATTTGAATTGTAATGAATAATTTTATATATAAATTTCAGAGCCGGTTCCAAAAAACGAAGAAGAGATGTAAAATATTACATCGATTTAGAGGAGAATGTAGCAGAAGAAAATTCAATGAATGAAGAATAAACTTTGTAATTTTAACTTTTTCATGTACTATTAATATAAGTAAGTTATTTATTAATAAATGAGAAACACATATTTATTTCTTGAACCTAAGAGTGAATTATTTCAATCCTTTTTTGCCGTTATATTTTAGAAATAGATCAGGAAATATTTATAATAAATATTTAGAAATGTATATGAAACGTTTTCTTCTTTCAGCGCAGTTGTCGGAAACAATTCCATATTTTTTTTAACACGGTGCGTGAAGTGGTGACTGTACGCCTTCATATCAGGAAGCACAAAACTGCATGGACAGCCTGGCAGAACAATACTGTTATATTTTATGAAATATATCCGAAATATTTCATGAAATAATCCAGGAATCTCTATCATAACTAAGCTGGAATATTTCAGGAAATGTTACAGGAGTATTTCATGAAATATATCCGGAACATTTCATCTAATATTTCTAGAATCTTTGAAGCAATTTAGCAGTAATATTTCCTTACAATACTTCTGGAATATCTCATCAAATATTTTAGGACTATATCATGAAATAATCCGGAACAATATCATGAAATATATCAGGAATATTTCACGAAATATATCCGGAACATTTGATCTAATATTTCCGGAACCTTTGAAGCAATTTAGCAGTAATATTTCATACCAATACTTCTGGAATATCTAATGAAATATTCAGTGAGTATATCATAAAATATTCCGGAACAATATCATAAAATATATCAGGAATATTTAACGAAATATATCCGGAACATTTGATATAATATTTCCGGAATCTTTGAAGCAATTTAGCAGTAATATTTCCTTCCAATACTTCTGGAATATCTCATGAAATATTCAGGGAGTATATCATGAAATATTCCGCAACAATATCATGAAATATATCAGGAATATTTCATGTAATATTTCCGGGATACTTCACGAAATACTCCCACAATCTTTAAAGCAATACATCAGTAATATTGCATGAAATAATCCAGGAATGTATATCGTAACTTAGCAGGAATATTTCATGAAATACACCAGTAATATTTCAGAAAATATTTCCGAAATATTTGAAGCAATATATCAGTAATATTTCCTGCAAGATATCCGTAATATTTCATGAAATATTTTAGTACGGTTTGTGTGGCGGACATTCCCATATTTCTGAAATATTTCATGAAATGATCCAGGAATGTATATCGTAACTTAGCAGGAATATTTCAGAAAATATTTCCGAAATATTTGAAGCAATATATCAGTAATATTTCCTGCAAGATATCCGTAATATTTCATGAAATATTTTAGTACGGTTTGTGTGGCGGACATTCCCATATTTCTGAAATATTTCATGAAATGTTTCATCAATATTCCTAATTTTTCATGAAATATTTCAGAAATATTTCGGAAATATTTCATGCTCTGTGGGTTGTTGCTTCAAAATCGTTATCTCTGAATAAAGTTCGGATTTCAGGTTCATCGAAAATTCCGGCGCTTAATTTGGCATCAGACTTATAACTGAAGACTTGCCCGAGATATTCAAAGCAACTTCCTTCCTTGTCCAGAGCTTTAACAAATTGTTTCATCAAACCAAGCTTGATATGCAGTGGTGGTATTAAAATTTTGCATGGGTCGACGAGCGGTTCATTCAGAATATTCTCTTTTCCTGGATTGAAAGATATCCTGGATGGCCAAATTTTCTTTACGTAGTGATTTTTTCTATCCCGACTATCAAACAAGCACAAAAAACACGGATGTTTTGTGAATCCAGATTGTTGGCCAAGTAATATCGAAAGAATTTTCAAGTCCCCACATAATTGCCACTGATGTTCTTCATATTTCAATTTTTTTAAAACCATTTCAATATTCGTGTAATTTTCTTTCAGTACGGTTGAATATGCTAGTGGTATAGGAGCATACTTGTTTGTATTATGTAGAAGTACGGCTTTCAAACTACGCTTTGATGAATCAATAAATAACCTCCATTCTTCAGGTTTGTACGTATTTGGTTTGAGTTTATTGATAAGTCCTTTTACATCTGTACAATAAACTAGATCTGAATCATTTTTGAAAAACACACGAAATGCCTCTTCACGGTTTCGATACATACTAACGTTTGTGCCCTGAACCAACATATTCCTAGGTTTTAATTCTAAAGCTATGAATTCACATTGTTCTTTCGATAGACCAGTACTTCTAAAAAGATCACTGAGATCTTGTTGATCAAATTTTTTCACATGGTGCTTTGCTTCATTAAAAACGTATTCCTCTGAACTTTCCTCTTTAAATTGACTGAACGTTTCCTCCTCTGACATACTTTCATCCATGTTAATTCCGATTTCACCTATAGAGTTGTCAACATTTTTTCCTGAATTCACATCAACTTGTACGTTATTGGATCCGATAGCAAAGCTATCTCGTGACTCGGCATCTTCAAAATCTTCGATTGATGCCTTACTCGGTAATTCAATACTACTAACCTCAGGATAAACGATTTGATTTTTGTTTACCTTATCCATACCTGCAACTCTAGTTAAACAAAAAAAAACAGTCTTTTTCATCACGAGGTTCTTTCCAAACTACAGGTGTTGTAAACTTCAGTTTGGTCTTGTCGGGATTCATTTGATAACAATAGAGCATATTGTTACAAGATACACAGATAATATGAGGAACCCAATTTTGGTTTTGATGTGAAATTTTCGTGTTAAAACATGCCTTGTACAATTCTCCTATCCTTTCTGTCACATTTCTTTTATTTTTTGTGAAAACATATTCAGAACATATATAACAAAAGTTATCTGGATGTCCGGTGCATTTATGATAATATTGGTTACCGAATGAGTCTTTTCTGTTGCTTCGTGAAAATCGCAAATAGTAGTTTGCCATAATACTGAATAGAATGTGACCAGCACCTTTAACAAATATTCTTTTTCAAATAGAGTTATCCCATATCGATAATTCACTTTTTTGTACTAATTGCTTCAACTGTTAAAAAATCAGAAAATTATAAAAATGTTTCCAACAAAACAAAAATGCAAAAAAATAGTAAACAAATCTTTGAAAGATCTTCGAATACCATTTTTTCCCATTTTTTTCCTAATAATTCTTTCAACTCTCTGATTTTTATTAATATTTTAGAAAGAAATATTAAGTAATAACTACATTACCGGTATATTTGATTAATTAATCGTTGCTGAAGCAAAAGTTCCTCAAAGACTTTTGAGTACAGACGGGCTTTAATAGTTTTAATATTGATATATAGTATTTTTTGTTATAAAAATTATGCTGTGATATTTCTCAATAGCGTATAATATAAATTTGTGAACAAATAAATGCTAAAATGATATAAACCATGAAAAACTCTTATATATAGCTGACTGTTGAATGATAGTTCAGGAGCTGCCGTATGTATATTACGTATGCTTTTCTGTGCTTGTAAACCGGCGTAATAGTTAAAGCGTGGCACATGTTACGTTGCATGCGAAATTAATCATTATAGCAAGAGTGCATTAAGCTTTGGTTTATGAACAAAAATACACTGGGATATAACAAATTTTTAAGCATGATTCTTCGAAATTTTTTTTTAAATAAGCTCAAGATAGTATCACAATGGCTTCCTGATCAAAAATGAGGAAAAAGACACAAAAAAATCGAAAATAGTTCATTTGTCCGTCGAAAAGAGCGCTCTAGCAGGATGCAGTGCTTTATAAATATATTAAATAGTTAGGTTTTTTTAGAAACTTTTTCACGCAGAAGTCCCGCAGAAGTTCCTCTTCTTACTTGTTCGGGCCAGCGTACACCTCGCTTTGACTCCGACGATGGATCCTGGTGGGCGAGCATCATAGAGCTTCATATTTAGAGTTACTTAGTCAAGATAGATTTACATTTATAATTGTAGCCAGTAATGTAGCCAGTAAATTCAGAAAATGAATCTGCTGTTAAAATACCGATTTATTTTCTATCGCAACTTCTAAAACCACAAAAAACACGAAAAATCCATAAAAAGAAGATTTTTCAAATTTTCGCAAAATTTTTTAATGGTCTTACATGGGTTACATATTCGATAAAAAAATAACTGGAACATGGTTTTCGACGTATTTTCAACCGCAGAATCTGAATCCGTTGTGCGATTATCGATTGAATGATTCATTTTTTAGAAAACCGCAAAAAACACAAAAAAGTCATAAAAAAGAGGTTTTTTGCGTTTTTCTCGAAAAATCCCTGCGGGACCCCCTAATATTATTGCATTTTTGGATTCAGCGTCGAAAATTACATAGGAATACACCTATGCCGTCAGTTGTTCAGACCACTTTTTTTTTTGTGGGCCTGTGTTATTTTTTCGCAAATAACAAATACTTCTATTAGTTAATTTAACTGTAGTTATTACGTAAACAAAAATTACATGAAGATTGCTTTGGATGTTTATACTTAATATCATTAAAAAAATAAAATTTTGTTGTTTGCGAAATATAATCATTAATGTGTTTTATATTATAATGATGCTTGTTATATCTTAAAGTTTTTCAATGAATGAAATGTGCAATTCAAATTTCATAAAAAAACTTAATGCTTGTAAAAAATTTATCTTATATACATGTTTTGCAACGGTAGTCGATTTAATTAATCGAACCGTTCGCGATTCTGCTTCTCGCGCATTAGTTCTAACAGTTAAGAGAGAGAGGGGGCGCGCGATCTTTTGAATAAGCAGTTACGCCTCAGCTGTGAACGCGAGTTACCGCCGATTTGTTTTTCGCATTTTGTTTTCGCCGAATAAAGTTTTCTTTGGTAAATTACGTGCGTGTGTGCAACGACAGTATTGCAGCAGCAAGCAGCGGTGCAGAAGCAGCAGATTGCAGCAGATAAAAGCGAATTGAGGCAGCGCAGCTGATAATAGAGGGGCAGCGGCAGTTGAAATTTTTGCAACAACAATTACGGCTGATCACCGTAATTGCACCGCATGGTTGGTACACCTTCCGCCATATTAAGCGATACAAAATACATTCGGTATTTTGTTTAATCGTGTTAACGTTAATTTTTTGTATTCGCGTTGAGCGTTAGTTCGCGGTAG